GCAAGATGGGTCGACCAAGCGAACAAGCTTTCAAGGTACAATCCTGCCAGCTCCACACGAGCGTTTCGCACTGCCGTCGCCTCATTGGACACGCTTTTAAAAGAAGATACGAACGAACGTGACTTTTTTCTTTTGCAGCCACATAAGATGTGGAAGGTCGTCTCATTGTATTTATATTAGCGCTGGTTGCACAGGAGGCCTACATCAACTGGGAATGGCTTCTGGGCAGCTGAAACGCATGGATTGGTGAGTTGTAAAACCAGCGATATTGTCGGACCGTTAAAAAGGATCGCTGGCTCTATGACGGAGCTATATCCCGGTTGAGTCCACTGCTTCTGTGTACGTCACATCAACACTAACATTAAAAAGAAAACGTGGGCTCTACCCCCCCCCCCCTCCCCCGGAGACGGCTCTCGTATTGCAGATGCGCAGTGAATGCAGAATCGACGGCTCAAAATTATCCGATACCCGTCCAGTAGCAGCTGATTATTTGAAGTCGATTGACAAAGCGCACTGGGACGCTTTCGGTGAGACATACAACCAGCCAACTTATGGCGAGATGACGTCTAACCTATGCAAATAATTGGTTGGCAATCAATATAGTCTGGTATCATTCCAGCAGCTGTCGCAAGAGCTGGAAAGAATGGCAATCCAATAGATCTGACGGAGCGAGCAAAAACAGCGCAAGATATACCCGGAAACAGCATTTAATTAGAGGATACCGAGCAATTTGTAATAAAAGACATTGAGGAGCAAGCAGTAGAAAACGTCTTTCAGTATGAAGGAATAGAGGATACGTCCAAGAATATAAATGATGAAATTGACCTTTAACATCCGTAACTATGACGTTGAACAAGATTCAGACGGATCTCGGAAAAATTTAGTTTCTGAGGGTCCTGAAAACATTGTTTTTCCAGAATACGGAAATAGTTTTGACCCATTCGACTGCCCATGTTACTGCGAGCGAGATTGATGTAGCATCGCAGACGCAGGGATTTATTGCACATCCAAAAGCTGTGCTCGCAAAGGACGATGCTAAGATAGTGTTTTTAGCTCTCGGGGGGGGGCGCTGGTTTATACTCAGTTTGGATACGGAGTTCATGCAGGTGGTTATATTTCAGTTGGCGAGTACTCTGGACTGCTGTCTACACACAACTATAATTCGGACAAAGCGATGGTCGGCGAATAATCGGTATAGCAAAACCTGCCTGGCGGGCAAACTCTTTGTACCGGTGAAGCAAGGGCTTTGACGAAACGTGATTTAAGCAATATTGATTCCATAGCCTGCGATCGTGCCAAATTGAATGAGAGGTTCTGAATCTTGATTAGACGCTTCCACTCGATTTTTTGCCTTCTATTTTCGATTCTAGGCTATCCATACGCTCATTCTAGCGCTTTACTGGCTGGGCTGACTGGTCAATGACAACACGCTGGTACTCAATGAGCGGGTGGTCTTGGATTATTTTCTTGAGTGTGCGTTTATATGTCTTCTGTGGTCGTTGGCAGCTTCGTATTGCAGGCAAGATGGGTCGACCAAGCGAACAAGCTTTCAAGGTACAATCCTGCCAGCTCCACACGAGCGTTTCGCACTGCCGTCGCCTCATTGGACACGCTTTTAAAAGAAGATACGAACGAACGTGACTTTTTTCTTTTGCAGCCACATAAGATGTGGAAGGTCGTCTCATTGTATTTATATTAGCGTTGGTCGCACAGGAGGCCTACATCAACTGGGAATGGCTTCTGGGCAGCTGAAACGCATGGATTGGTGAGTTGTAAAACCAGCGATATTGTCGGACCGTTAAAAAGGATCGCTGGCTCTATGACGGAGCTATATCCCGGTTGAGTCCACTGCTTCTGTGTACGTCACATCAACACTAACATTAAAAAGAAAACGTGGGCTCTACCCCCCCCCCCTCCCCCGGAGACGGCTCTCGTATTGCAGATGCGCAGTGAATGCAGAATCGACGGCTCAAAATTATCCGATACCCGTCCAGTAGCAGCTGATTATTTGAAGTCGATTGACAAAGCGCACTGGGACGCTTTCGGTGAGACATACAACCAATCAACTTATGGCGAGATGACGTCTAACCTATGCAAATAATTGGTTGACAATCAATATAGTCTGGTATCATTCCAGCAGCTGTCGCAAGAGTTGGGAAGAATGGCAATCCAATAGATCTGACGGAGCGAGCAAAAAACAGCGCAAGATATACCTGGAAACAGCATTTAATTAGAGGATACCGAGAAATTTGTAATAAAAGACATTGAGGAGCAAGCAGTAGAAAACGTCTTTCAGTATGAAGGAATAGAGGATACGTCCAAGAATATAAATGATGAAATTGACCTTTAACATCCGTAACTATGACGTTGAACAAGATTCAGACGAAACTCGGAAAAATTTAGTTTCTGAGGGTCCTGAAAACATTGTTTTTCCAGAATACGGAAATAGTTTTGACCCATTCGACTGCCCATGTTACTGCGAGCGAGATTGATGTAGCATCGCAGACGCAGGGATTTATTGCACATCCGAAAACTGTGCTCGCAAAGGACGATGCTAAGATAGTGTTTTTAGCTCTCGGGGGGGGGCTGGTTCATACTCAGTTTGGATACGGAGTTCATGCAGGTGGTTATATTTCAGTTTGCGAGTACACTGGAGTGCTGTCTACACACAACTATAATTCGGACAAAGCGATGGTCGGCGAATAATCCGTATAGCAAAACCTGCTTGGCGGGCAAGCTCTTTGTACCGCTGAAGCAAGGCAGGCTTGGCCGAAACGTGCTTAAGGCAATATTGCTTCCATAGCCCGCGATCGTGCTAAATTGAATGAGAGGTTCTGAATCTTGATTAGACGCTTCCACTCGATTTTTTGCCTTCTTTTTTCGATTCTAGGCTATCCATGCGCTCATTCTAGCGCTTTACTGGCTGGGCTGACTGGTCAATGACAATACGCTGGTACTCAATGAGCGTGTGGTCCTGGATTAGTTTCTTGAGTGTGCGTTTATATGTCTTCTGTGGTCGTTGGCAGCTTCGTATTGCAGGCAAGATGGGTCGACCAACTTTCAAGGTACAATCCTGCCAGCTCCACACGAGCGTTTCGCACTGCCGTCGCCTCATTGGACACGCTTTTAAAAGAAGATACGAGCGAACGTGACTTTTTTCTTTTTCAGCCACATAAGATGTGGAAGGTCGTCTCATTGTATTTATATTAGCGCTGGTTGCACAGGAGGGCTACATCAACTGGGAATGGCTTCTGGGCAGCTGAAACGCATAGGATTGGTGAGTTGTGAAACCAGCGATATTGTCGGACCGTTTAAAAAGGATCGCTGGCTCTATGACGCGAGCTATATCCCGGGGTGAGTCCACTGCGTCTGTGTACGTCACATCAACACTAACATCAAAAGAAAACGTGGGCTCTACCCCCCCCCCCCTCCCCCGGAGACGGCTCTCGTATTGCAGATGCGCAGTGAATGCAGAATCGACGGCTCAAAATTATCCGATACCCGTCCAGTAGCAGCTGATTATTTGAAGTCGATTGACAAAGCGCACTGGGACGCTTTCGGTGAGACATACAACCAGCCAACTTATGGCGAGATGACGTCTAACCTATGCAAATAATTGGTTGGCAATCAATATAGTCTGGTATCATTCCAGCAGCTGTCGCAAGAGCTGGGAAGAATGGCAATCCAATAGATCTGACGGAGCGAGCAAAAACAGCGCAAGATATACCCGGAAACAGCATTTAATTAGAGGATACCGAGCAATTTGTAATAAAAGACATTGAGGAGCAAGCAGTAGAAAACGTCTTTCAGTATGAAGGAATAGAGGATACGTCCAAGAATATAAATGATGAAATTGAACTTTAACATCCGTAACTATGACGTTGAACAAGATTCAGACGGATCTCGGAAAAATTTAGTTTCTGAGGGTCCTGAAAACATTGTTTTTCCAGAATACGGAAATATTTTTGACCCATTCGACTGCCCATGTTACTGCGAGCGAGATTGATGTAGCATCGCAGACGCAGGGATTTATTGCACATCCGAAAACTGTGCTCGCAAAGGACGATGCTAAAATAGTGTTTTTAGCTCTCGGGGGGGGGGGGGGGGATTTGTCTCCACCTCTCTTCGCAAAAGAGAAAGAGAGAGAGGTAATATCTCCTTTGGGAGTGAGAGTGGGGGGAGGACAGAACTCCTTTCTCTCTCCC